ACAAACCTGGCAGTGCATCTCTGCTGGGAGCTGCTGGGCAGCAGCTCAGAGCCAGCACAGCCCAGCACAGGAGCTTCACTGCCTCATTATTTCTCCAGATCAATAGCTTCACATCTCCATTAATAATTTGGGCAGAAATGTGGAGCTCTCACAGCACAGCTCAGCACACACCGAGCCCCCCAGGCCACAGGAAGCCCTGCCTGAAGCAGGGCTGAGCTCTGGCACAGCAGCAATGCTTTTTCCCTGCCAGGCTGCAGCTACCCAGCCCTGGGGAAACAGCCACATGCTTGTTCCCTGTGCTGCTGGCAGCTCTCCCTCTGCAGCCTGCTCTTTACTAAAGGAAATCTCTTTTGGAAGAGCTTTGGTTCAGAGCAGGGGCTCTGATCTTAAAGATTACAGCTAGAGCTTTTAAATCAGCGTTGATTTAAAAGAATTCTCTAGGTAGGCTAAAATTTCTAGTTAATTTTGTTTTCCTGGTAACGGCGTAGTTAAAGCAGAATCTCAACTTACACATCCATAAGCACATCAATTTTTTATTAACAGCTCAACTAATTGATGCCTTTAATTAATTAATATGTGCACAGCAGAGCAAGGCAGGTGTATGTGTAGCTGAGTGGGATATGTTATTGCCACCTGCAGTTAGGACTTAGAATCTGCTAAAACCTCTCAAAGAGTTTTCCAAATCCATGGTATATACATGAGGCCTTCCATACAATAAAATGTTTGCTCTCCAAAGGAAATTCATGAACAAAGGCTGTTCTAGAAGCTTTCTCCCATGCTACACCCTGCACCAAAGAGCTCTGATTACAGTTTGTCTCCCTTTTAGCCATGCTGCAGGCCTGGTTTTGCCAAAAGCAGAACTTTTCAAATACAGAAAAGGTTTCAAAGTCTCAACATCCTTGTTTATAGCCCTATAAAGAGGCTTAAATCAAGGACATCTTTGGAAAGGACATTGCAACAGCTTAAAGAAACAGGCTTTTTTCCAGAAAAAGAAAATTCTAGACAAAGTTAGAGAGAGAAGCAGAATTCTTTACTCTGAACATGGCTCTTAACATGCCAGTCATCAGGCTTTCTGCCCACCTGCTAATCTGCAAGCCCAAGAGAACAGACTCATGGTTTCAACCTTAAAGGAAATAAAAATAAGCAATGTTTTTTCTCTCCAACTTAATTTTATTTCTCTCCAAAGTTCAATTTATTTTGATCCCATTACATATCATAGGTAGAATAACTAGTTTTTCATTCTGTAGATCAATAAAAGGAATATACAAATTAAAACAAGAACTACAGAGGGATGTCTTGCTCACTGACTTCCCTGTGGCATTTTTGCCTCGTTGCAAGCCTGTGTGAGACAAACCTGAAAGGAAAGAGAAATCCATCAGTACTCAGAGACACTGGTACAGCCCACAGCCACCTGCAGCTCCCACCTAAAGCACAACTTGTTTTTCAGAGCAGTGACAACAGCTCTTTTCCCCACTGTGTATTGAGGCAGATGTGATGCGACGCTCCTGCTTCTCCCTTCCCTGCTCTGTGCTGCTTCTTCATCTCTGATATCACCCAAAATTCAAGCCAAGGGGCAATAAGGAGTTTCTATTGCAGCTCAACAATCCCCTGACTGGTGACAGAGGGACAGCACTGCCTTATAGCTATGGCTGACAAAAACACCCAGACTTACTGACAGCTTCTGCATGAGCCCTTGGGCCTTGGGGTTCAGCTGAAGAAAATTCTTCTTGGTCAGATCCTTTTCTGTCAAACGTATGCTCTGTGGAAACAAACCCAAATCTCAGGTTTTCTGTCTGGCCAGCGGCAGACAGTAAAAAAGTTAAATAAAATAAAAGAGATTAAGATTGAAGTATAGACAGGCAGAGAACTACATTCAGCTGCAACAGCTGCTCATCTCACACCTTTCCTGCAGTGCATTAATGCATTACTGGCTGTGGTGGTTTTAAATAGCTTGGTTTGTGGTGAGGGGGGATAAAGCCAGTGAATCAATGATTTTCTTTGTGGGTGCACTGGCATTCAGCCAGCATCAAACCCACTACATTGACACTATTGCTGATTTAAGTGCTTTAAAGTGAATGCACAGTGAAACATCCTCTTGTTCTGTTCCAACCAGCTTGAGCAGGCCTCACTTCTGGCTAAGTCTCAAGGTTTGTTTTCAGCTCAATCAACCCCTCAGGCAAACTACAGTGGCACAGCTAAAGAGACAAGAGCGGGTGAAACAAAGCAGGTGAGGCACCAAGCGGTGCCCGTGCACCCCTGAGCAGGGGAAGGGTCAGGATTTACCTCTCCCCCGCCGAGGGGCACGGTGAGGATGACGTCCTCGGGCTCGGCCAGGGGGCTGCCCTTGGCAGAGAAGGTGTAAACACGCTCGTTGAGGGCGGGCGTGCGCAGCCCCGGCGTCTTGAACACCCTGCAAGAGCAGCCATCAGTGAGTGACACCTGCTCCTCCACTCCAAGTCTTTCATTTCGGGTCCAAACAACCTCTACAGGCTGTGTTGTAAAGGTGTAAAGCAGACTGGATCAGAGATGGAAGGGAAATGTATTTATTTTCTCTGTTAACAAACCTGGGATCAAATCTGGGTGTAACCATGGAGGTGCTTCCCCGAAGACACATGTCAACCATTCTGCCAGTAGCTGGAGTGATGAAGCTGTTTTTGCTTGATCTGTTAAAGGGAAATAAACATCTGCACATAACATCACCTTTAACAAGTGTACAGGCACTTGTCAAAGGCTTGAAGAAGGTGACCACTGCTAAACCCAGGGTTACAACTAACCAGTGACCCCAAAACTGGGGACAGCTTGTTGTCACAGGACAGGCAGCTGTCCATCTTTCATTCATCAATTTTCCCCTGTCGTGTGGCACAACTCCCGCCCTCCACCATTGAAACAAAGCCCATCCCACCAAAGAGATAACTCATATTTGCACTCTGACTCTCCATTTCTAGAGAGGAGACAGAGACATCCCCCTTACCTCTTGCCCTTGCCCTTCACTGTCGCTGAGGGGGGTCTTCTGGCCATGGGTGGCTTTTTGGTGGATGCCTTCACCTGAAGCACACATCACTCACAGATCAGTTACTGCCCTCTGGGACAGCTGAGCCCACACTAACAGAGGCTCCCACACAAAATGCTCAGTCCCTTTCCATGGCACAAGAGCCCAGAACAAACAGCACTGAAGCCTTTGGGACCCTCCCCTGTGGCTAGACTGTGTGTAGTCTCCTTAGAGCATCCTGGACAGCCCATCAGCTCAGTCAGGAATTCCCATCCTAATGTCACCCCAGAGAACAGCTGCTCACCTTGGCAGTCCTTGCATCCCCACTCTCAGCCTCTGAAGGGCACTGGCTGGCAAGTCGAGATCTCTTCTGCAGTGGAAGCAATGGAGGCTCTGCCTCCTCATCAGCTTCAACACTCCTTTTGATCTTACTCACTAGAAAGAGAAAGTGTTACCTAAGTAAATAATAACTTTAAATTATTATGTAGTAGGGAAAAAAGACAGCTATAAGCAATTTTGGCAGCAATTTGCTTCAGAAATCCAAATTCCAATGCAATCCTAATGGCTGCCAGAGTACTACTTTGGATTATTTTGAATGTTTTAATGAAATTAGTTAGATGTACTGCAGGTACTAGGGATAAAAGTAGAATTATTTTCCTGGTTTAAACATACTGAGGGATGTGAGCAAGAACTGAATTATTATTCACCTAAAGTAACCACAACATGCTTCCACCTCACCAATGATGCCACAATGCTTAAACTCACCTTTCTCAGCAACATCCAGCAGGGGATCGATGACTTCTGCGCTTAGCCTGCGGATCTTTGTTATCTCCATGTCTGCCTAAAATTAAAAACACTTGTGGCACCAGTGGGATTGTTGACAGCCCAGTGTTTATGTAAAAGTTGTAGGGCAAACCCCCAATAGTTTTACAGCCAGGTGAGCTCCACATTTGCTGTTGTGCTCACACTGGGCCTTTCAAGCATCTCTGCCTCCCTCAGCACTCAGTGCCTGGTTGGCAGCTGCAGGTGTAGCTCTCCTACACCCTGCTGCTCCACCAGCTTGGAAGTGCTCTCCTTCACTGCCAAATGCATGTGCTCTCAGGGATTTCGGAGTGCTGGCTAGCAGATAAGGAAAGATCAACAGGGAGGAGCAGCACCAGGTAAATCCCACCTCTGATACAACATGCCTCTCTTATTGTTGAATTTTAAAGAAATATTTGTGAAAATATTGATGTAACTGTTTCTCTTGTAATGCTCCAGCACTGAATTCCAGTGTGAGGAGCAGAGTGTGATGGCTGCAGAGAGCTTTATGTTTGTGCTGGAAACCTACCTTAGCCACATCCTCCGGCGCGTTTTCACTTCTTGCTAGAGCTAGAAAGAAAACAGATCAGATATATCAGAAATATGAGGGACACTCACACAGGACAGCAGGGCTGTCACCACGGGGGTGCAAAACCCAGCACAAACCAGCCCTAGAGAACAGAAGGAGCCCGTGGGATCGTTCCCTGGGGATTGCGGGGAGGGTAGATCCCAGCTCCTAAGGGCTTTATTATTAGTAGTAGTATTGTTATTATTATCCAAGGGGGAAGGGTCCCTGAGCCCAGCGCCCCCGGCCCCGCTCCGCACCGAAGAACTCCAGCCAGTTCATCTCGCGGATCTCGGGCGGCAGCCGCAGGATGGCCATGTCGTACATGTGCTCCACTTCTTGCACCATGCGCTCCCCGTCCGCCTCGATCCGCTTCAGCCGCCGCTGCACTGCGGGGAGACGCGCCGTCAGCCCTGCCCGCGCCCCGGGCCTCTCCTTTCCCTTCCCCTCCCCGTTCCGCGACCCCCTCCTTCCCCGTGCCCCACCTTCCCTGTCGAAGTCCTGCAGGAACGCCTCCATTTTGCGGCGGCGGGCGCTGCCGCTGCCCTTTTTCCTGCCGGGGGCCATGGCGGGCTCGGCGCAGCTCCCGCCCGGGCGCGCTCCGAGCGCTCGCTCCTTCAAACGCAACCGCCGCCGCAGCGCCCAATGGCGGCGCGGCGCCGGGCGATGACGGTCACGATGACGGTGATGATGATGATGACGGTGACGGTGATGGCGATGATGGCGGCGCCCGTGGCCGCGCTCCGGGCCTGGGCGGAGGCGGCGGCGCGGGCGGAGGCNNGGGGGGCCGAGGGCCCGGCTGACGCCGCTGTGCCGGCAGGGAGGAGCTGCGGGCCGTGCGGGACGCCGTGGGGGCCGCGGGCAGCGCTGTGCTGCGGCTCCTGGAGGAGCCGGGCCCGGCCGAGCTGGGGCTGGCCCTGCTTCTGCGGCGTGGGCCGCGCTGCCCCTCGCTGGCCGACGTGCTGGAGGGGCTGCAGGACGTGGAACGCTACTACCGGCACCTGTATCCTGCTGGGGGTGTCAGGGAAGCGGTCTCTGGGCAGGGCTGGGGGTGTCAGGGCAGGGCTGGGGGTGTCAGGACAGGGCTGGGGGTGTCAGGGAAGCGGTCTCCAGGTAGGGCTGGGGGTCTCTGGGCAGGGCTGGGGGTGTCAGGACAGCACAGGGGGTGTCAGGGCAGCGGTCTCCGGGCAGGGCTGGCAGGGCTGTTTTGTCCTTATTGTCCTTAACCAGGCACGCAGGTACTTGGAGAGCAAGCTGCTCCTGCAGCGCCTCAGCCTGGACAGCCTGGCAGACGTGGAGGCCCTGCCGCAGTCCTGGGAGAGGATTTTGGAGCGTTTCAAGGAAGATGATGTTGTTCAAGGTAGTTCTGTGTGTGAAGAGCCCCGGGGTGTTTCCCAGGGCTCCTGCTGATATCCCCTGGCCGTGCTGGCTCTGCTGGTCTCAGCAGCAGTGGGTGACCCTGCTCTGAGATCTTTGTGACCTGCTCTGAGATCTTGGTCAGCTTCAGGTGAAAGTACTCACCCTCACACCTGGGCACAGCTGGAAGCAGCTTCCTCCCTCACAGTGTGGCAAGGGCTCAGTGACCTATTTCACTCCTCAGTCAGTTTTACCCACACTTTTTAAAATTGCCTTTAGAAGCAAGTTTTTGGATTTCAGAATACAGGTAAAGCACATTCAGCTGACAGGGTTGTTGTTTTCTCTGTGTCTCAGATACTCTCCTGAAGGTCTCACTGTTTGTGGAGAACCATCACGAGGTGAGCTGCTCGCCTGGCTCCTGACAGGGCAGCAGGGACTGGCACTGACCAGCCTCTGGCACGTTCTGTGGTGCTGCAGAGGGGATGAGGAATCGAGGGAGATCTCCTGGTGCTTTTTGGAAGCTGAATGAGTTGGCCTCAGCATGAAATGCTTGAACTGTACCATTTTGAAGTGGGAATGGCCTTGGTCTGTGAAGAAGAAGCTGAGCCCAAAAAGCTGTGAGGATAGAAGAGAGTCACCTCCAGCTGTGGCACTTGTCCTTTCCCTCTTCTGCCTGGGCTGTTTTTGTCATGGTAAAAATGTTGATTCTTGTTTACATGAGGTGCTGCAGATGTGTGAGAATAATGAAGTCCTTCAGGCTGGTGCTGTGAAAGATATTTGGGCTCTCTCCTTACAAATAAAGAAAACATGTCAGATCAGGGTTTAGAAACAGTGCTCGCCTCATGTCTGTGAGCAGTGTGTTTGCAGTCATCCCAGCTGGGCATGGAGGAGGAAGGAAGCAAATCTGGCTTGAAAATGTCATTATGGAGGTGCACAGATGCCCAAGTTCTGACTCAAACACGGGCACATTTCAAGGGTGAGCAGTACACTGCTCTGTTTCCACTGAAATCAGATTTAAAATTTCACTCTCTGGTAGCCACTGCTGACAGCTCAGGGACACCTTTTGTTGGCCTTGGCACTGATCCTCTGAACATTCCCAGGAAGCAGGGGGGTGTTTGTCTCCCAGCTCTGTGTTTGCTAAGGAGCTGCAGCTTCTCAGAGAAAGCCAATAAAGAATTGCATGGGACATGCTGTGGGTGTGGTGTTTGTGCTCACATTTCTGTGTCTCCCCAACCCAGGGTGTCCCCGTGGCCTCCCGAGGGCACTGCATGTCCCAGGAACACTGGGGGGAGCAGATTGGGGGGTGTCAAGGGTGGGAGAGGGCTGGATCAGGGCTAGGGCTGCCAGTGCTCCCATCAGGGATAGGGGATTCCTGTATTTGTGAGGTGCCCCGTGGCAGGAAGGAAATGATGCATCTGACTCCATGTTCTTAGAAGGCTAATTTATTATTTTATGATCTATATTATATTAAAGAATGCTATGCTAAAACTATACTAAAAAATACAGGATACAGACAGAAGGCTAAAAAATATTAAAGAAAACTTGTGACTCTTTCCAGAGCCTCGACACAGCTTGGCACTGACTGGCCAATAAGTCAAAAACAATTCACATGAAACCAGTGAAACGATCACCTGTTGGATAAACAATCTCCAAACACATTCCACATGAGCACAACACAGGAGAAGCAAATGAGATAAGAATTGTTTTCCTTTTTCTCTGAGGCGTCTCAGCTTCCCAGGAGAAAAATCCTGGGCAAGGGGATTTTTCCAGAAAATATGACGGTGACAGGAGATCACGAGTTCTAGCTGCAATTTTTCACACACAGTTGTAATTGCAAAGAAAACCAGCTGCAAAGAAAAGCTGCTCCTGCCCAGGGGGGAGGTGGGGTGGGTTCTGCTCCTGGTGGGGCTCTCGTGGCTGTGCAGCCTTGTGCTCCCTACAGAGGGTTTGGAGCAGGGCTGATGGCTCAGGGTGACTCAAGGGTGTCATCCTTGCTCAGGCCTTGGTGTATCATCCTCACAAACCACTAGGTCATAGTGAGCTTGGATGCAGAATTGTCTTCGCATGTGTGCATGCTGTACAACCCTTCAACATTCCTGTCAGCCTCTCTTCAGGATAGCTGCCCAGTGAAGAAATGGATTTAAATCCTGGGAGATGTTCAGCACAGTTCAGTGGTGGCCCTTCTGCTTCTCCCAGATGTTTGGCCCCTGATGTCTGTTTGTGCTAACAACAGCCCTGCTAAAAGTGCTGAGGGAGCTTTCTGCATTGAAGGTGGCCATGCCCTGACTCTGACTGACTGAAATGGGGTCCTCAAATTAAGAGGCAGACACAGTTAGGGATAAAGGGTTTTTGTCTTGGTGTTTAATAAGGATCCTTATGGTGCAACACTTCATCAAGGTGGAGTATGCTGAAATGTACACCCAAGAGATTGTGTATACAGTTTTACAGATTTTGCAAATTAGTATATCAAATAAAGATGCTTTGATGAGAGGCTTGAATTAACAGTGTGACATTTTCTCATCTCAAAGTATTCCCTCTTGGATGGGCTTAATCTTAGTTTATAGGATGTATTTTAGATGGGACCTTGGTTTTTCAAGATAGCATAGGGCTTTCCAGTTTTCACTTACAAGGCCTTTAGGATGTTTGGTTTTCTGGCTTAGCAGAATACCAGGACTATGTTAAGTTATCAGACTTAAGGAATTAAAAGTATGTATTTTAAGAGCACTGAGAATACATAAAAGATATAGAAAATATCTATAAAAGATATATAAAAGGCAAAAATTCATCATGGCATCAAGTAGCTCCAGTCTGTGCCGTGTCTTAGTGAGGCTATGGGTAAGGCAGCACTAAGGGCTCTGAGACCAACTGGTAAAATATATGTAACCATAAAAACAAATCCAAGTACCCTTATTTTTGGAGTAGAGCTCTTAAAGTATTCTTGCACGGAGATCTGTCTTTGAGGAATGCAATAAAATGCAGTTAGCAGCTGGAGCTACCTTGTTAAAGGAAAATTGTCAGGAAACACAAAGCTCACACTTTGATTTTCAGCTTTACCTCCTGCTAACTCCATTGGAAAACAGTTATTCTTCACTTCCAGGAAAAGCACAAACTAAATTCAGTTACTGAAGTCAAATGCCCACAAACATTTATGAGGAGCATCTGACTTGTGTATGGTTGTTTTGTTTCCTCCCATAGGGGTGGGAACTGGCTTCTGGTGCAGCAGGGCCTTTGCAGTTCTGCTTAGAAATGGGGACCTGTTCTTGGTAACACTAGACTTCCAAAACAAACCCAAAAGTTTTGCTTTTGAAACAGATTTCAAAACTGAGTGTATTACAAGAGTCCACAGTTATGGAAAAGACAAAGGATTTGGCACCTGAACTGAAGTGTAAAGTGGCTCAGAGGCAGAAATATGTGATAAAAAGCTTTGTGATTAATTTAATAAACCAAGTACGGGTTTCACAAGTCCCTATGGTTATTGAGCTTATTCTTTGAGACTTTCATCTTGGCCTGAAGCAGAACTCCTTTATGACTTTGCTGAGGGGCTGCCTGAGTACTTATTTGCTCTGAAATACAGCAAACATTCTCCCCTACCTGTTAGCTGGCTTTTTTTGCCGTTCCCCAGTCTTGGCTCAGTGTTTCTCTAGTGCCTCTGACTTTGTCACAGCTTTTGCCCTGTTGAGCTCCAAGGAGGGGCAGATTCTGCTGGTCTGATGGGTGTGCAGTGAGTGGGGAATGGTTCTGTGCTGTTGGCACCCCGGGGTCCAGGAATAGGGATGTGCTGGAAGGATGAACCTGCCTTGTTGCCCTGTACTTCCACCACCTCCCCAGGTACCAGAAATATTAAGCATCTATTTAATTTCCCAACAAAGCACCCTGAGGTTCAGTTCCCCTCTGTCCCCCAGCACACCACAGCTCTCTCACTGGGGCTGACATGGGATGGCTCCCTGTTCTCCCTGGTCCTTCTCTCCACAGCCCAGACAGTCTCTAGGCTGCCTGGGGAAAGCAGAATGAAGAACATCAAGCCAGTAAGTCTCCTAACCATTCTGCTATGTGAGGAATGAATCCAAGAGCCTTTGCACACTATTAATCTTTTCCAGTTCCTAAGAAAGCAAACGATCTCCTCCCGCTCCCATAAATTCAACCTCTCTCTCCAGCTTCTCCCCTGGTGTTTGAACTGCTCACCAAGAGCTTTATTAAAACCTACAAGATGCAGTTTTGTTCCTCACTGAATCCTAAACAACTGTGCTAGATGGAGAAGAAACATTTGGTGCTGTCAGCTTTAGAGCATTTTTGTGTGTAGTCCATGGCCACTTGTCAGCCAGGGACCAGCCTCAGCCCCACACTGAGCCCAACAGAACCTTTGCTCTGCTCTCCTGAGGTTGGGAGATAAATTCAAACTGGCCAAACCTCACAGCCTCATGTCCCAAAGCTCCTGGCAATGATCCATACGGGGGCAGCAGAAGGGATGTTCCCCTGCATGCAGCGTGCTCCTGTGGCACCTTGCCCTCCTGTGCCAATATCTGCAGCTTGCCTGTGGCCCTGGGGACAAGCTGTGCCCTGGCAGCTTTCCTCCTCTCCTGCTCTGAGAGGCTTCTGCTACAAACCCTATGTCTGTCCCCTCGGCATGACCCAGCCAGTGCCACCGTGGGGGTGTGGGGCAGCAGGGGATGGTCCCCAGGTGTGGGGTGAGCAGAGAAGCTGCAGCTGGTGCTGGGCAGCTGTGGCTGTGCTGGGACAGCCAGGTGAGGCTGGCAGGTCCTGTGGGGGCAGCAAAGGTGAGCTGCACACCAGAGTCCTGCCAGCTGCCGTGCATCACACTGCTCCTTGGCACGTCATGCAATGTGTCACAGCCTTCTCCCTTTCGTTTCCTAACGTTCCCTCAGTCTGAAACTCATCAACCAGTGCTGAGAGAAAACATTCACAGATGAAGCCAAAGCAGAAGTGAGCAAAGCTGTTCCTTTGGCTGGATTCCTCCAGCTCCTTGTGTGCCACTGCTTGGTTTGAGCAAGAGCCACCCTCGCCTGCCCTGTGCACCTGAGCCATGGGGAGGGACAGCAGCCTTCAGCTGCTGTGGGGGGAGCTCTTCTTGTGGCTTTGCCTAGGAGAACTCCCTTTCATGGTACAGCTCTGGTACCTCTGCCCAAAGCCCAGGGAAGGGGGTGAGAGCAGGTTGTGTGAGAGGGGAGACAAGGCTATGGAGCATGGCTTGCACAAGGAGTGCTTTTAAACTTCATAAACCTACTTGTGAGTCAGATGGCAGGAGCAGCAGAGGGGAGAAGTGGGGGGTGAGAAAGTCAGTATAGTTGTGCCCAGAGGAGAAGCAGCCTGAAGCAGCTCTGGAGCCAAGAAGCTTGCAGCTGCTCTGCTGGAAGCAGGGGCTGGGGGCACCTCAGGCAGTGACAGAAAGTTCTGCTCATGAGGAACCTGAACAGGAGCCCCTGTGGAAGCCCCATGTGGGGAGCCCAGAGCTCACAGGGGCTGAGCCCTGGCACAGGGGGTTTGGGCAGTGCTGCCCATCCTGTGCTGCTGGGGTACCACAGCCCCTGCCTGCCGTGTGGGAAGACAGGGAAACAGGCAAGTGGAAAAGCCCCAGAGGTGAAAAATCCAGCCCAGATTTCACTGGACATGGCTCCCCCAGCTCTGAAAGGCTTTTTGGTCTGGTTTAATGAGATTAGTCTGTGAGCTCTGGAGATGTCAGCCTGCTGGCAGCTCCCTGTTCAGTAGTTCCTCGTGTGCCAGGGAATGATGTTCATTTCGTTGGCCTTGACTCCGCTGGATCAGGCTGTTGCTCTGCTTCTCAATTAGCTGCATCTGCGTGGCAGTAATGAGCTGGAGGTCACACAGCCCAGAGAGGGGTGCTGAAAAGTTCACTTGTGTGGAAGGGAGCTCTCCATACCCCCATCCAGGGTTTTGCTGGGGCTCTGCACCCAACCTGGCCCCTGTTCTCCCCGGGAGCCCCACTGGAGTCCAGCCCCGCTTATCGCTGCCGTGGTGACACTGCACAGCTTGCTCTGTGCTGGAGAGGCTGTGCTTGTGAAAGCTCCAGTCTGGGTCTGTGCTGACATTATTGAAGCTACTGGTAATAAAACATGTCACTACAGGGGCCAGGGCCACATCCGATCCTGCAAAGGGAAAGCAAGAATCCAAACAAAACCCAAAACTTCCAAAGAGCTCTAACCAAGCACA